TCCTGACATTTGTAGCCTCGATGGCTCTGATGACTACACCATCCTACAGGAAGTATCAATGGATACCTGGGATTGTTTTACTATAATATACTCACTGTCATTACTGTTAACACCTGAGAGCCCTAAATCAGCACTGCAACTGTCCTTGAAAACCATTCTGACAAGTTTACTGGTTGAAGTAAACCCTTGGTCTCTTGAAAGATGTAAAGCTGTGGTGCCTACACTGTACAAAGAGAAGCCCCAAAGTACATGGGGACACAGGTTTTAGGAAAACGGTCAACAACAACACCCAAACAAACACAGCTTTATTTGGGGAAGTTATATACAGTATATACAGTTTTGAGGACTTTATATAACCATGTATGATTTTCCAAAGAAACACCGGTGGCCCTGGAATTCTTATGTGTGACTGATGACCCAGGCTCAGTTGTGTGGCATTTACCTGAATGATCTGGGCAGCGAGCTCTGGGGTCCCATGCTTCAGGTCGTGTCCATTGATGGCCAGTACCCGGTCATTGCTGTTGAGCCTGCCGTCCTGCGCTGCCAGCCCCCCTTCTAGAAGGTCAAGAATAAAAACGCCCGGTTCATCTGTCCTTCGGACTAATTTAATCCCCAGCTGCTCTGCTGAGTCGCGTTTGTGAAGCAGCACTTGGAAGACCTCGTCCCGAGATGCGCTGCCGTCCCCATGGCTGTTTGCTCGGCTGCCGAAGCGTCTCTCGCGCAGCACGGTGAGATGCAGTGTGCTGCAGGGCTGGGAAAGCACGGCCCGGGCATAGTTATGGGACACGTTGCTGATATCATAGTTGTTGACCTAAAACAACAAATGGACAAACAACTCCTGTGACCAACGCGTGACAAAATTTATCTTCCTAATTTGCAGAAATGTATAGATGACATCTCCAAAGGAAACCAATATAGAGAACATGCCAGAGGATCCCATACCTAAAAGAAAACCATTCTAAAGACTTCTATAGCATAGAATTTTAAAATAAACTAATGGCACAACACTGAGGAGTAGTTAGGAACATGGGCACTGGCATTAGTCTTTGGTTCTGCTAGTTATTGATACCCTCAGGGTTAGGGCACTCATCCAGCGCCTGCTCCTCTGGGTCTGACTATGTCACAGGACCAGGGTGGGAGAGAACAGGCCATATCAGGCCAGGGCAAGTCTGCAACTAGCACAGCTCTAGTGGCCTGCAGGTTCAAGTTCTGCTGGATTTCAAAGCTGCTTTCCCTAATGAAACATACTTACAACAGACAAAATAAATCGCTTTATTTCTTAAGAAGTTGCATATTCTGAGTGACTTTTTAAAGTCTATAATTACAACTCCATTCTAATTACCAGCATACACATATAATACATGTTTAATATGCGGAGTGTAATTCAATATTCATGCACTCATTAGAATGTACAGTTTTATACAATCACAATGACTGATCTTTGAACATGTGACATCACTTAGGAAAATAGTCTAGCTTCAATTACCCACCTAGGAGCTGAGCATAATTTTCCTATTTATCACAATTAGAGCTCTTTGAATCCATCTGAGATAAAACCGATGCTCGCAGGATGTCTCTAATGAGACAGCTCTGGGTTAGGACTATGTGATCATCTGGAATACCACGGCTCTCTCAAACAAGTTTACATTAAACAAGGCCTTCCCCTTCTTACATATCTGAGATGGACAGTTCTATCTTTTTAAATTTGAGCTGCTTTCTTTCTTTTGCTTATTTTTTGGGTTTGATAGTTTTGAACAGTATTACCTTGCATTTTGTTGGTTTTGATCTATGGATAACTTTTAAAAGCCAGTCATCAAATTTGCAGGTATCATACACAAGCTTACTATTCTCTCATGTTTTTTAACATTCATGCAGGCTTTGACAGGTAATTAACACTGGCCTGAGACCAGAACTCCAAGGCATCTTCCAGAAAACCAGGCCGACAGGACTCACGGATCCACCACCATTTCAGTCGTTCAGCTAAGAGTTGACTATTGCCATGTTCATAGTCCCATCTTCAGACAGTCACAAAGGACACAAGTCTTGCCTGAAACACAGCTCTGGTTCAGCAGTAAGCACACCAGCAGTCTGTCTCAGCCATGCCAGTGGCCCTGGAAGGGTTTGGGGCATGGGACTTAAGAAGAAAGCAACACATGGTCCAGTGGCTGGACATTCCAAGGCCAAGGACCTCCAGAAAAAAACCCAACCCCTGCTGCCCTGCAGCCTGGCTCTACCTGCTTTGTTCTGATAGAGGAGATGTCACACTGGCCACTAGGGTTAGACTTCATGAATACCTTACTTATTGTGGTGGATTACATACAACAAGCGTGACGGAGAAACCAAGAGAGTGGGATCGGCGTAGGGAGAAAGGATGAAGAGTCTGCAGATGAGAGCATAAGACTGGAGCACAAGGTGAGAGCGGGCGGAGGTCAGAGCTGGTTCCCTGCAAGAAGGCAGGGAGGCTGGCATGCCCAGCTTTCCCACAGGAAGGGACATCCCATGAGGGCAGGACACACTCTTACAGTGCCAGGAGCACTGTAGGAAAGGGACAAATGTTAGGCAAGAGCTCTTACTAAGGAGCAAGGCTGCATGAAGCACCTGGGCTAGGACCCTGCCCTTGGCAAATGCGGCGGGAGACAGGCTATTGGATAAAGCACGGCACTGAATTGGGAATGAGGCGGTAAAGGCCTAGACTAGAGAGGTAGCAGGGAAGAGGGAGGCCTCGGCAGATCACAGTAGAGGACTGAAGAGGACTGAGAGGAAGGACAGTCCTTGTGCCTGGGCTCTGAAAAGGCAGTTTTCCCCTTGCTTGCATTTTTCTCCTAGAATCAAGACTTATTGTCCCTATCCTTTCAGTAATGCCTTCTAATAAAAGAAAATATCTGGTCCTATGCTAGTGCTATTGTGTGTGTGTGTGGGGGGGATCATTTCTTTTTGAAGGCACTACTGGGGAGGACCATACAGAGGAGTAGATGAAACCCCAGAGCTGGATGCTGGCAAGGCATCTGGGAGTAAGAGTTCTGAATTTTACCTAACATTCTGTGCTACAAACTTGTTTACCTCTCGGGGCACTACCCGGGCAGAATCCCCAGGATGGTGAGAAAAAAATATCATCAACAACTAGTGCTATTTGGCTCTGTCTTTCACATTCTAGTCATCAATGAACGCAAGGACCAATCAGACATGCAGAGAAGAGATGGATGGAAAACTGGCTATGATATAAAACCAATGGGAAAGAAATATCTAGCCTGGTCAATGGTGTCTCTGGAACAGTCATCAAGAGTCCAAGCCAGGAGTGTCAGTGTCCAACAAGCCCAGAGAGCCCTGCACCAAGTGCCCAGTCATACACAGTAATGAAGATTCAAACGAAAAAAGAAAAGCAACAACAGGAAATGATCCACAATCCCTGACCCGTTCTGCACACTGAAGAGCAAAGCTATTCATAGCTGGGTGTGATGGCCCCACCTAAAATCTCAGCACTTGAGAGGCTGAGGCCAGCCTGGGTAACAGAGAGTTTGAGGCTAGCCTGGGTCACATAGTAAGAGCCTGACTCAAAAAACGAAGCATAACAAAATTAAATCTCTGAGTTTGCAGCCAGTTTGGTCTATATATCAGGGTCTAGTCCAGTCAGAGCTACATAGCTTCAATAAACAAACAAATACATCAAACCCAACTTTTGTATAATCCGGGTTCTATAACATCACAATTGTTTAAGTGGTAAAACAAAAGGCACAGGCTAATAGAATGGTAGAGATGTTACCTGAAGAATCTGGTCTCCGGCAAGGAGCCTTCCATCTCTGGCAATGACCCCATCCCGGTAGACTTCCTGGATGACGATGTTGATCAGTGGTGTCTCATTGCCGCCCACGATGCTGATTCCTAACTGGATGTATGGGTTAGAGCGGTGGATCTCAATGGTAGTGATCTCCCCTTCTGGTAAACTAAGTGGCTGCTGCACAGCTGCCAAGTCAAACAAGAACAGTGCATATTCAGATTCTCTCCGCTCAATATGGGACTAACTAGTAAAACACTGTTAAAACTAGTCAAATTCTCTTCTTCCACAGATGATCTGTAACCATCAATAAATCATTACTATGTATGAGGTAACCAGGGAGCACACATTAACAGAAAGCCACCATGCTCTCACAGGATGTCTGGGCCATGAAACAAGCACAGATCGTGCAAGGCTGCAGAAAGAAAACTCTGGTAGGGTGGGGAACCCGAGAGGAGCTGAGGAAGGCCACAGTTGCACTGAGCCCTAAGGGGCAAAAAGCATCAAGACTATATGAACATGGAGGATGACATGATTTCTAGGAGAAAATGAGTTCTAGGAGCAAATGGGACCAGCGCCCCAGGCTGTGTGTGTTGAGAGCAGGGGTGTGGAGTGGACTCAATGATGTATTCCCAGTCACACCGGGCTGTCTGAGCTGTCAGTTTTCATTTTTAACCTTTTTTTTTTTTAATGCTCTCATGTTACAAACACTTACTTAGTTAACATACAGTGTTTAGGAATAGTGATTATTTGAGCTGTTCCTATTGCTTTTGTGGTTTTGCTGTTGATGCAAGCATGTTTCTAGCGGATCCCGGTGGGGACGGATGGGAGGCCCGTCTTCCTCCAGGGTAAGACTCTCCTTTATTTCTAGACTGCAGCCAGCCGGAGCTGCAGGTGCAAAGGGTGAATGGTGTGGTATACAAACCGTACTCCAGGGCAACTGTTTACACAGGATGTCAGAAGGGCAGTGGAGGAAAGGCAAGGGAGACGGAATGAGACAGGAAGAGGTGAGTTGCACATACAGTCGGCCGCTGCACTCTCCTCGAAGGCAGGGTTGTCCAGGCCAGGCTCCTCGGGCCACACAGGAGGGGCAGGTGTCAAGTTTTGCTCCACAGGCACAGTGCCCAAGCAGTCCGTTTCTGGGGGGGAGGGGCCAGGAGGATCTATTACCGTGGATCCAGTTTCACCCTCAATCTGTGTCTGAGTTTGACTAGTTTTCCTTCTCTCTAGATCAACTCTCCGGTGAGAGGCTCCAGGACACCTAGAAACAGCAGCAGGCGGTTTTCAGAAGGTTTGAAAAGGAAAAGTTGGGTGGGGATGAGGGCATGGGAGGGTTTAATTAACAGTGTACACCTTAACAAATGCATGGTAACTGCTCATGTCCCAAAAGAGCCCAAAGTACCCACAGTTCAGCTCCCAGTCTCTGTCCAAGCTGAGTTCTCACTACTCTACCTGGCAGGCAAATTCAGGAAAGACATGAAGAGAACTTCAGCCAAAACTCAACACTCAGGTAGACACTAGTCACCTGGAAGCATCCCAAGAGTCATGGCTGGCTGTATAAAAGAATGCCTGTGAAATCTGCATCAAACAGTGCTTTTTACAGGCCAGATGTCTCAGCCAGCGGTGGCCATCTGTAGGCTTCTTCATTCCAATGTGCCACTGTGCCTCCCCACACTCGGTGGGCAAGTAGACACAGGAAGCTTTACAACTTGCAGCAAGACCCAGCCAATGTGCCTTTTGCTAAACACAAGAGACAAGATGTATTTCCCTAGTCTGTAAAATTAGAACCTTGAGATATGGTATCTGCTGGGTATTGGTGGTGCATGCCTTTACTCCCAGCACTTGGGAGGCAGAGGCAGGCAGATCTCTGTGAGTTCGAGGCCAGCCTGGTCTACAAGAACTAGTTCCAGGACAACCTCCAAAGCCACAGAGAAACCCTGTCTCAAAAAACCAAAAGAAAAAAAAAAAAAAAAGGTTTTGCTATCTGAGTAAGAACTGCTATTAGGCTCTATTTAAGCAAATTTCGGGTAGAGGATCATTTAAACTCAAAACCAAGGACTCTTAAACAAAAGTCTCTCTCACTGCCTTCTGGGAAGGAGGCCAGAACGCACACACAGTCCTCTTACCTGAAGCTCTGGCTGGACAAAGCAACAGGTGGATGCAGTGTGAAGGGAGACAGCAGAGTCAGGGAAAGCACAGTCACACTAGACCACATGCTGAGGGTTGTAGATTTGCATCCAATGGCAATATTTTTAAATTCCAAAATTTGCTCCATCACAAAGAACAGGACAGATACAGTTAAATCTGAAAGCTGTGCCAAGCCACAAAGCAGGACAATTGCCCCAGAAACCAAGTTGTTTTTTTACTTTAAACTCTGCTTTCAAGTTTTGAAAAAGATAGGCATGGAAGCACCCGCTTCCTTCTTTTCTTATTTCTGGCTTCCTACACCCTGTGATGGAGGGACACAGCTGAGTCTTCATTCTGTACTGCTGTGCAATACTCTAGGGACGGTTATCCAAATACCCGGCAAATGGTTTTGAAAGGGAGATCAAGGAACACAGGCCTTTGCTAGAGATGTGGATTGACTGGAGACACATTTGCAAGCTATCTTGAAGTGGAGGCAGGAAAGTGCTGTGGTTGCAAAGATGGGCGCAGATTTGAGTTCCACAAACCCAAGAACTGATTAATGGGATCACACGGGGTTAAAAAGCTTCTCCCCACAGAGGAGACAGAATGGGGGACATCTTTACCAAGAACACACCGGCTAGGTGATTCCTATTTAGAATACACGAGCAACTGCAAAAATTCAATACCAAACTCTTAAATCATAGATGAATAAATGAGCTGAGGTAAAAGAATAGGTAGTTCCCACAAAACAAACACAACTGGCCATTACTACTCAAGGAAGCCTTTGTGTCCTTAAGGTACATGAATAGAAACGATTGAGATTCCTTCTCACCCACCACCAAGAAAACAAGGGGCAACACTGGAGTGTGGAGAAAGAGGGGCTTTTGATTTACTGCCTCTGAGAATGTAAATGTGGGGAGTCACAGTGGGGGTCAGTGCTGAGATATTTCAAAAAACAAACAAACAAAAACCACAAACCAACAAAAACAACAAGTGAAAAACAGAGCCCAGATGCACCACTCTTGACACCCACTAAAGACTTGACATCAGGGCACCACAGGGACACTCGCACATCCATGTTTATTACTATATTATTCACAGTAACTATCAACTAGAACCAGCCTAGACATTCATCAGCAATGAATAAAAATGGTATGTATACATGATGACAGTTTATTCAGCCATAAAAAATTGCAATTATGGCATCCGTAGAAAAATGAATGGAACTGAGATCATAATTTCAGATAAGACAGATACAGGGGAGGGGGAGGGTACATGATAGAATAACGGGGGGGGGGGGCGTGAAAGGGAGGGGGAGGGAGGGGAGGACACATGACGGGATACATGTGGCATGACAGCAGAACAATTTGGCAGGAAGGGGTACAACAAGGGAGGGGTAGGAAGCCAGGAAGGACAGTCCTGGAGGAATATGAACAAGAGCAAAACATAATGAGATACCATTATATTTTGTTCTATTTATGTCTACACATGTATGAAAAAGTCGCAAGAAACCCATTATTCTATATGATCACTTAAAACATTTATTTTTAATTTTTTGAGACAGGGTTTCTCTGTGTAGCTTTGTAGACTAGGCTGGCCTTGAACTCACAGAGATCTGTCTGCCTCTGCCCCCCCACCCCAGCATTGGAATTAAAATGCCCGGCTCTTAAAACATTTTTTTTTTTTAATGCTAGGTCCTTGTCTTTAATTCCAGCACAGGGAGATCTCTGAATTCAAGGCCAGCTTGGTCTATGTAGTGAGACTCTAATCTCAAAGAAAAAATAAATTAAAAGACTTAATTTCCAAAATATATGTCACACACAAACATCCACATGGGTAATAGCTAGTTTTCAACTGCAATGCATGCCTTTAATCTCAGTACTCAGGAGGTCAGCCTGATCTACATGAACAGAGTTAGTAAGCTAAGAGGTAAACAAGGTAAACAACACCTATCCTACAGCTATTACATTCAGTAAAATGAGCTTTCAAATGGAAAAGCTAAGCGTACTAGAGGAAGAAGCAAGCATGCTCACATTCCCAATGGGACAGCAAACCCTTAACAACAGGAAGCCACCCACAGAAGAGGAAAAGACTAAAATGGGATCATGGGAAAACATGGGAAAATGAGTTTGCTCCGCCAGCATCAGGGGAGGAAGTCTATAGATAGAACCTTTGGGAACACCCCTACTTAAACAGGATGGGCCCCACTCAGGAGACCATGACAGCAGCCACGCAGGAGACTATGAGGGGAAGACAGCAAAGTAATCACAGCAGAAAGAAAAAGTCAACAAGAGCCAAGTGCTACAAAGGGACAGACAGACACAACCCGGTGGTGGGGTGGGGTCCAGAGGCAGACTTTTGTCTAGCATGGCTAAGGTCCTAGTTTCAATCCCAGGGACATAATCTTGCAAGACACAAGAACCAAAAAGTGTCAGTCTGATTTGACAATCAGAAGGCACCTGGTGGTGTGTGCCTATGCTCCAGCCCTCGGGGAGGCAGCAAGGTGGGGAGTTCCACAGAAAGATGGGGCAGCAGTTCAGAAATGCTTTAGCAAGCATTTCTGGCCGAGTTGGCTTTCTACTGCTGGGATAAACATCACAACCAAAAGCAACTTGGGGAGGAGAGGGTTAACTTTATCTTCCAGCTTAATCACCAAGGGAAGTCAGGGCAAGAAATTGGAGGCAGGGGCTGAAGCAGAGGCCATAGAGGAAAACTTGCCCTCCATGGCTTCTTCAACCTGCCTTTTATATAATCCAAGACCCATCTGGCCAGGGGTGGCACTGCCCACATAGATCCTTAATCAGGAAAATGCCCCACAGATTTGCCTATGGGGCAATCCGAGGGATGCTATTCCTCAGTAGAGGCTCCCTCTTTCCACACAACCTCAGCTTATAACAAGCTGATAAAAACAAACCAACGTAATTACATCCTTCAAAAAAAATAAACACTCGAAACTATAGATTTAAGTGGAAAACTTAAGTTAGGGCAGCTTGATCAAAACTTGGGTGTGTGAAAATTAAGAGAGGCTGCTAATGGGTTTCAGGCTCCTTTCCAGTTGTTGGAATGTTCTAGAATTTAGATGACCCACACTACTGCAAATACACAAGGAAGAGGCGCTGAAGCATGCACGTTAGAGAGGTGAATTTCACATGAGCTGCACAGCAAAGCTGTGACAAGCCCAAGGAGAGCAGCTCAGAGCAGGCTTGACCAGAGAAAAACTCACAGCCACAGCCTGGTCAGAGCCAGGCTCCTCGATACTCAGCACTGAAGCACAAGGAGGCCACACTCTGCTAGTCCCTGTGTAACAACTGTGATGTACACACAATGCCTGTATCCTTACAACTGTTCTATTAGACACGGGACACCTGAGACTCGGCTAAGCCAACATCACAAAGCAACTGGATTGCAGAGATACAGTCCAAACACAGTCAGATCAGATTTCAAAGGCTTTCAGCTTTTTCCTCAACAGCAATACTAAGTTTATTTGTGTGGAATTCTTTTTAAGTCCTATAAAAACAAATTGCATTTGTTCTATCAACAAGCACTTCAAAGCACCATCATGGAATATTAGGGCTAAACAGACCAAGGTGATCATTAAAAAACAAAAAGCCAAGGTGGGTGTGGTGGCATGTGCTTGTAATCCCAGCATTTAAGAGGCACAGACAGGTGGATCAGGAGTCCAAGGCTATATCCTCACTTCACAAAGCTCAAGGCCAGGATGGTTACAGGAGACCTTCTCTCAACATACGCACGTACGCACGCACGCACGCCCCACATACACACACCCTAAATTACACAACAACACAAAAACAAGAAGCAAACTGAGTATGGCGACACCTTTAATCCCAGTACTGAGGAAGAGGCAGGAGGTCTCCTGGCCTACAAAAGGAATTCAAGACCAGTCAGAGCCTCCCTCTTTGGAGACCCACCATAAAGGCCAAGCCAGTGCTGGGATGAGATAGCTTCATTAACGTGCTTGCCTTGTAAGCAGGAAGGTCTAGTTAGATTCCAGAACCCATATTAAAACAAAGTAGGTGTGATAGCACATGTTCATAACCTCAGTGCCTGGCTGCTTGAAAAGGTCATCCCAGCTATTCAGAAGCCAAGGCAAGAGGATCGTTTGAGTTCAGGAGTGTGAAGCTGGCCTGTATACCACAAACAACAAAACCTCTATGTATCCTTGGAGATGGAGGGGGCAACATGGCGCAGCCAGGAAACTGGTGTAAGAGATTTAAGGCAGGAAGCGAAGCCAATGGCTAGACCTGCATGCAGCTCTGAATTAGATCTGCAGATGCGGGACAGAGATACATCACTCAAGCAGAGCTTTGAGGCAGTAGGTGGTAGGAGCAGCACAGTCAGTCAGGGAGATCTTGTAGCTCATGGTAGAGTGCTCACCTAGCATATAGGGTCTAGGTTTACTTCACAGTACTTAAAAGCAAACATACAAACATAAAATAAAGCGAGGCATGGTAGCCCATGCCTATAATCCCAGCACTTGAAGATTGAGTCGGACTGGGGATTCCATGCCAGCCTTGGGTACACAGTAGGAAACTGCCTCAAAAAACTTGAAGCTCAATGAGCTAACAAACTGCAATACATAAACTATCCAGTGTTCGATATAAAATGTGAGGCCCAGGTACAGGAAAAGACATAATCAATGCAAACTGATAAGTAGGCAATGACTTAAATTTGTAACTATCCAAAAACTAAAGGAAATCGTATTTGAGCGACTGAAGGCAAACAGGAGGATACATCTCACTAGCAACAATCAATAAATAAACATGCAGCACAACAAAAACCCCAGAGTGGAAATTCCGTGAGCTTGGCAGCACAGACAGTGGTGGGCACACTCAAGAGACAGGCTGCTTGAGATTGCCCAGGCTGAGCCTTATCAGAGGACTTTTCTTCCTAAAGAAAACCAGTTCTGAATCTTGCCATAACCATCCGTTTTAGAGGTCAGGGGTGGGAGGTGGTAGTGGGAGTAGAGAGGAGCAGTTTTACAGATGATGCTGCTTGGCAAAGTTCCACAACTGCTTCATCATACGTATTTAGTATGACACAAAAGAATCCAGCTCTAGTTCTGAGACCAGTAAGAAGGTGAAACATGATAGTACTTCGTATGCTAACTTAAGAAGAAAATGAAACATGTATTACAGAAAGAGGAGGAGGAAGAAGAGGAGGAGGAGGAAAGAGGCCCAAGTTACCATTCATGCAGTTAGGCTCAACCAAGATGCGCACACTCAAAAGTCTCTGGTGTGTCGCTCCAACACCTGCTGGTGATGGACACAGAATGTAGAGCCACGTTGCCTGCTTTTCCAGTCTATCTTTCCTACTTTCTCTTGGCCCCTGTGTTAGATAGCACAGCTTGGGTTCAAGCAATTTCTCTTCAAATCTCCACATTTCTCAAGTTTTAAAAACTTTTTTTCCCCTTCAGTGTAGGAAACTAAACTTTGTATATGCCGAGCAATCCTGCTACTACTGGGCCTCACCCTCAGCTCTGTGTCAACAAAATGTGGTGTTCTCAATCCCATACCTCAGTTTCTCATTTTTCAATTATTTCTAATGAATACAATGAGATCCCTTTATAACAACATGATTATCTTAGAACAGAACACACACATCCAGGCACGTGCCTATGAAATGCTGGCTGCTCCCGACAGCAGGGCAGTGAACAGATGGCTAGAGTAGTGTGGCATACACAGATAGCAAAGGTAAGCCTAGCCACGTATGAGCTAGCTCCAAATCTTCCTGCACTGTGAGATGAAAGGACTGGATTAATCTCCTTTAGCGCCATGATTTTATGTGTCATTCTACATGAGGCCTATGATGCATCTGAATCCAGTATGATGCCAAGTGCACATGACCAATGTTGGTCAGAGTCAATACAAGTTGTTTCAACTGGTGTTTGAAACAACATGTATTTCTGTCACTTTGTGAGTCTGCAGACACGAGTTGTTATTTACTTATTCATGTGTATGAGTAAGCGGATTATGTGTGGTTGCCCATGGGGAAGTCAGAGGACAACATGCAGCAGAGTGTTGTGGGAACTCATTCCCCAATAGCCTTGGGGCAGCAGGCTCTAGGGTGTGGCCTTGTCTGCTACCTGACAACTGATAAACTGGAGAGGAAGCCTGCTCTCTCTCTCTCTCTCTTTCTGACTCATCCTTGACATGATGGGACACCAAGCGGTGGGAGAGGCGAGGTGACGTGGGAACAGCGGCGGCTAGATCAGCAATGCCTTCTTCACTGTGCCCCTTAATAAACTGGTTATTATACTTTTTGTAAATTGTCACATCATCAGTCGGTTCTGTATTTCTACCCTGTGGGCTCTAGACATCAAACTTAGATGTCAGACTGGGTGCTAAGTAAGTGCCTTTCATCAATAAGCCATGGCACCAGCTCAGGCTTATATAATTTATTTCAGAGGTCAAGTCTTACTATAATCAAAATTTAAAGATTCACTACCTCGTCATACAAACAAATTATTTAACATTTTAAATAAATGTTCATTAGACTAAAATAAAATAATAAAAATCACTCCTAAATATTTCTTTTTCTAATCCCTATTCTTATTCAGCCAAGCCTCTTAACACAGAATCTTTAGTCAACTCATTTCCACACTCTTCCCTGATGGGGAAGTCCTGTGTATATGTCAATAAAGCACTGTTGGCCAATAGGGAAGCAAGATAGGTGGGACTAGGAGTCAAGGAGGATTCTGGGAAAGAGAGACAGAGTCAGTCACGATGTAGCCTCCAGAGGAGTAAAAGGTCTGGGCCCTTTCTCCGGTAAGAAAAATACTTAGATTAACAATTATGGGGTAAATACTTAAGTCAGAGATAGCCAGTAAGAAACCAAGCAAATGGCCAATGGCTTTATAATTAATATAGCCTCCTGTGTGTTCATTTAGGACTGATGCAGCTCTGGAACCAGGCTGGCGGGAAGACTTCACTCTACAAATGGTGTCAGAAGTGAGAAGTTTCCCCCTACACTTCCCCAATAAAAATTTCATTTTATTTAACTCTTCATCATTCTTTTTGTTGTCTGTTTTGTTTGAAACAGTTTTCACTATCTAGACCAGGCTGGCCTGAACTCACAGAGATCTGCCTGCCAAAGGCATTTGCAACCTCAAATGGCTTTCATCACTCTTAAGTAGACTGACTCCAATGTAACAACCATGCATAATGTTGCAATACGAATCCTCATGTACAATTTTTCCTTGTATTGGATTTTTCCCTTAGGAAAATAAACTAGACAAAAGAATTCTTGCATTTAGTTTCTTTTTTAATGCTAAACTCCCTTGTAAAAGAAATCCAGTATTATCACCTGTCAGCCATGTGAGTTTAAATTGCATGGTATGATGAAGAAAACATTACTAAGTGGTACTTGTACACTGTAGCTTTCACACTCATGCTTGAGATATATTATTAAGTACGGACCAATGCAACTTATTAATTGCATCTCTTACTTGATTGGTTCATATATCTACTGGTGCTTTATTTTTTGACTGTTTTTAATTTTTGGAGACAGGGTCTCACCATGTAGCCCAGGCAGAGCTCAGACTCTCAAAGGCTCTGCCTCAGCATCTCCTGCTGGGATTACAGGCCCGGCACAAGGCGCCCTTCCTGACCACGCTGTGATCACCCTTCTATAACACTTCCTCAGTTCCCCTCCGCTCCTTTGTACTTACCTGTTTTTAAGATGTGCCTCTAGGTCACAGCGCTGCATCACATCCTGGCACACGGAAGAAAATGGGCACAGAACTAGTAACTTGTCTAGAAGTTTATGGACCAGGATGCTAGATTTCTTACACAACTTGAAATGAAGTCTCTTGCGGTCCAGTGGACAGAAATCTTTCTCTTGTAGGAAGTTTCTGAGGCACTTGTGGCAGAATGTGTGTCCACAGGGCGTGTCGAGCGGCTGCAGCAGGGGCTGAAGGCAAATGTGGCAGACCAGGTCGTCATCCACTTCGCCCTGGTAGTTGTATAAGTGATTTTCTCTTGCCCAGTGCTGCTGGCCACACTCAAAGCACAGGGGATCTAGGGAGGAGGACGAGGAGGCCTGCTCCACGGGCACCATCTCATCACTGGTTGTTCCCATTGTGAGTCAGCAGTGTCCGCATCAGCAGGTTCATGGATCCAACAGTTGGGAGTATTTGTGTGACTAAAATCAAGTACAAATAAACAAAAGTAATTAGTATCAATTAATATAGGTAAAAGGATCAATAAAATATTTGACAAGTTTTCAGTAAAAAAAAAAGTTTGCTGAAAACAAAATAGTAATACAAATAATAAAGGAAATTAATTTGCCAGTTGAGTGAGAATGATTCACTCTGCCAAGCTGTGGACAAGGAGAGAACTTGGGAGCCAAAGCAAAGGCACCGTACGTTACCCAGAGGAACGTTAAGAGTCCCTTTGTACCCCACTGTCCGCTGGGAATCTCGAGGCTAATTAATCAATTATGCTGCCTTGCTCTACTGACTGGAGTCCCTTGCACCCACTGTCCACCGGGAATCTAGCGCTAATCAATCCCCCAGTGTGCACCAACAGTGTGGCTTTGTCATCTCACTTACACCTCCGTGCTCTGCTTTAGCAGAACCCTTGACAGCCTTGAATAAAATGGCAGTGTTTCTTACATGCAGTTAAGGATAATTCTGTTTGTCAATTAAAAAAACCTTTGTTCCACATTATGGGAAAAACACGTAGGATTTGAATACTCTCTCTATGCAAAATAAAGGGAAAGTCACAACCCACAGCATATAAAAATTACATCTGTGCAAACTCTCTAGAAACTTCTTATTCCAAAGGAAAGAATGCTACAATCCCATTAAACAGATGAAAGGATACACATTAGATCTGTCTGGTCAGTCCACACTTCCACTTGGTCTTGCTTATTACTCAGAGCCGCCAGCTGTGTATACCTGCCTTCACTGACACCAGACTCTTCCAACACCTCCGCCTGGAGGTGAGGCTCAGGAAGATGCGTCCTTCTGAAGGCCTCTGTCCTTACTGCTAAGGCACTAAAGTTAAAAACGCAACTCCAAAGGCAACAGCTCTCTGCCCCCCTTCTGCAGACACTGTAGAGCCTCCAAAGTGTGCTGAAAAGGAACGCAGGCAGGAGGGGCAGGGAGGACAGTTAGGAAACCCAAGCTGCATGTGACAAACATTCTAAGACTTAAGTCAAGCACAGATAAGCTAAGAATGCAGGAGAGAATGAGAAATTGGTGTTTCATTCTGTTTGGCTTCGTGGTTGGGAATAGTTCCGAAAGGTAAAAACAAAACAAACACACAAAGCTATATTTCTGAGTTGTGACAAGAAGCACCAGTCCGAGCAGGGGATGTGGGTGAGGGGCAGGGCATCTCAGGAGAGAACTATACCACCTAAGGCAGAGTGTCCAGAGGTCACATAGCACAGCCAGGAAACAGAAAGCAGGCAAAACATCTCAGGTAAGAAACACACTTGGGAAATCTAAACCTGAGAGTCCTCTCCAAGAACAGAAAGAGAAGCGGCACCACATGGACTCTGACCGTGTCTGTGCTGGTGTCTGTGTATACATGTACATGTACATGGAAATTGCACAAATGGGAACATGTAGAGATCAAAGAAAAACTTGTGGGAGTCAATTTTCTATAACCATGTGGAACCTGGGGATTGAACTCAGGTTTCCAAGCTTGGAGGCTGATGCTTTGCCTGCTGAGACATCTTGTTAGCCCTGTAACTGATATTTTATGTACAGCATTCATTTTAAAAACAACAGAAATTGGGCAGAGCAGCACACACTCATAATCCCACCCTTTGGGAGACTGAGGCAGTTCAAAGCCAGCCTGGACTACATCGGAAGACCAATTCTCAAAACATCTACACTAACAAATAAAAACAAATAGCATTCTAAGAGATTTAACAAGAACGGCCATGGCTTGGAAGTAGAATTCAGGCAGGACAGCTTGACCCAACTTCAAATAAACCATTCCTCTGAAAATTAGTAAAATAATAGTACTTGTGACCCCCCTCCTGGAGTACCATCATCAGAACAGCAAATACTTCCTGTGGTAGCTCGTGGGTCTTCTTCCTTTGAACATGACAGCTGTCCTGTCAGTGTAGGATGCGTGAGATGAAGGAAAGCAATACCACTAACTCAGAATTTCTACAGCCTCTTGTTTCCCACCTACTTTTCAAGAAAATTCACTTATCTTTTGCTCTACTTTGATGTGACAGTGCTTACTCTAATTTTTCTTTTTCTCAAGAAAATATATGGTACTATGAGCCTCCCACATGATGACTAAGAAAACACTTAGCTTAAGACTATTATGTTCTAGCTGTTCCCTAAGTCTCTAAATATCTTTAGTTTTTTATTTTCATTTTATCACAAAATCTTTTCATGAGGAAAATTAACATAATAACAACTACTTTATCTCCACCCACGAAACATGTCTTTGCTGCCACAAAATAAATGCTCACTCAAAACTGAACTTAGCACAAGCAGTTAGGAGGGCAGAGCCTGAGTGGACCTGGGGGGAGGGGTCAAGTCTTTGCTGGCCACTGAGCAAACTCAAGACCTTACTAACTTCTCTACCTGTCAGCTGGGCCCATGTAAAGACCAGTAGGCATTGTATGTGCAATTTACAAACAGAACAATTAATAATGCTGCTCCTTTATCGAAAGGCTAAGAAAAATGTTCTTGATGCCAGCACTGAACTCTCCTTACAGTTCACACTGCAGGGTAGATTTGACAGCTGCCCTTCATGAAGCCGTGTAAGAAAACAAATCGATCAACACCAAACCTTACAACTACCACAGGACAGTTCCCACGTCCCTGCGCACCATCGCAGAGAAGCTAAAACACCTGCACAAGAATGTTGACGTGATAGGAGACCCACAGACCCTTCAGCAGCTGACTAGATGAGCAGGCTGGGACACATCTGTACACAAACTACTACTCGGCAGTAAAAAGAAATGAACACAACCCACTGAATCTCTAGATTAAGAGTGTGAGTGGGGTTGATATTAAAAAGTTACATTCAGCCTTGCAGTGGTGATGCATGCCTTTGAGCCCAGCACTCAGAAGGTAGAGAGAGGTAGGCGGATCTCTGTGAGTTCAAGGATAGCCAGGGCTACACAGAGAAACACCATCTCAAACAACAACAAGTTGCATTTGGAGCAGTGATTGCTCAGTAGCTAAGAACACTTTTTGCTCTTGCAGATGACCTGAGTTCAGGTCTCAGCACCCACATGGCAGCTCAAAATTGTTTCTAACTCCAGTTCCAGGGGATCCAATACCCTCTCCTCACCTCCCTGGACCCCTGGACATAAACTCACACAGGTTCACTGTAAACACATAATTTTTTAAAGTTGTATTTTGTTGTTGTTGTTGGTTTTTTTTTTTTTTTTGGTTTTTACGAGACGGGGTTTCTCTGTATTGTTTTGGAGGCTATCGGTCCAGCCTGGCCTCGAACTCACAGAGATCCGCCTGCCTCTGCCTCCCGAGTGCTGGGATTAAAGGCGTGCACCACCACCGTCTGGCCTAAAGTTGTATTTTAAATAAATAAGACAAAAATGTTTCAGTCTGTATTAGTCTACCTCTATAACATTATTGAAATAACAGAATTCAAATGAAGACTAGTTCAATGGCTGCTGAGGTTTGAAGGCGGGGAGAAGGGCAGCATGAAGAAAGGGTCTTGCAGGGGTGGACATGTTTGCTATTGTGACTGTGTTAACACCCGTCCTGGCTGCACCACTGAACTGCCGGTCTATAAATGGCTATCACAGGTGAGGTGACCTGTGTCATCTCTTACAACAGCACGTGAGTCTACAAATACCCTGAAGGAGGAAGGTGCTTCAACATCACTCAAGAGCCCAAGCATCCCTGTCTACTGTACTAGCAGCTCATGCTAAAACATCTGTTTGTTTATAAAACAAGGAAACTTACAGAAGTAAGAGCTTCCTGGGGGCTACAATTTCAGAGCGTTAGTCCATGAGCATCATGGCAAGAAGCATGGAGGCAGGTAGGTGGGCATGGTGCTGGAGCTTA